TCCTCCTCCTCCTCCTCCTCCTCCTCCTCCTCCCCCATCCTCCTGCCCGTGCTGCACCGACGCGCAGCGGCCCGCGCTCGCCGCGGCCAGCCTCCCCGCGGCCTCACCTCGGCAGGCGCTGACCGCCACGCTCGGCCTGGAGCGCCCGACCCTCGTGCAGTCGCGCGGCATCCCCGTCGCGCTGGAGGGCAAGGACGCCCCCCCCCTCGTCGTCCTCCTTGGGGGAAGGAGGAGGAGGAGGAGGAGGAGGAGGAGGAGGAGGAGGAGGAGGAGGAGGAGGAGGAGGAGGAGGAGGAGGGAGGAGGATGGAGGAGGAGGAGGCGGAGGAGGCGGAGGCGGAGGCGGAGGCGGAGGAGGAGGAGGAGGAGGAGGAGGAGGAGAGGAGGAGGAGGAGGAGGAGGAGGAGGAGGAGGAGGCCCCCCCCCTCGCCGGCCCCCCATCCGCGTCCCGCGCCCCCCTCCCCCCGCGGCCCCCGCGTCGCCCCCCCTGCACGTGGCACGTGCCCCCGCTCCCTCTTTCTCTATTCCCCTCCCCTTTCGGTCCTCGGGAGATCTGCGCGTGGCCCTTCACTCCCCTAGCGCCTCGTCTCGGGGCCGCGGCGGTAGCCACCCTTCTCGCCAACGACGCGCTCCAGCTCGACAGCGGTCCCCCCCCCTCTCTCTATTTCTCCCTTGCCCTCTCTCTCGCGCTCGTTATGTCCCTTTCTCTCGCTCTCTCGCTCTCTCGCTCTCGCTCTCTCACTCTCTTTCTCTGTATATATATATATATATATATATAATAGTTCCCTCGTCAGGGGTGCCCCTAGCGCGAGCATAGGGAAACAACATTATCAATGGAATGGGAATGCGCCCAACCAACCTGCGCGTCACCACGACAACCCGTGACAGCACGAGTTACCGAACGATCAAACAAGCAAGCAAGCGAGCAGCAGAGAGAGCGCAGGCAAGCATGAAGATGATGACTAACATGTCAACATATTGTCGGCTTGCCAACCAAGCCTGCCAGCCAGCCAGTCGCCGATTGCGAATCCAGCGACCGCCACGTCCTGCCTGTCCCGCAGGACTTGCTCTGCCGCGCCCGCACAGGCAGCGGGAAAACCCTCTGCTACGCGGTGCCGATGGTGCAGAGGCGCGCACGTCATTCTCGGCTTCCCCTTACTCGCCTTGTCCCCGTTCCAGCTCCTGCTCCTCGCCCCACTCCTCCTCCTGCTGTTTCTCCACTCCGTCATCCTCCTCTTCACGCGCTTGGCCATAGTCGCTAGCATTGACAAGGCGAAACTCCAGCCACACCCCCAGTCCCGACCCCATCCCCGAGCGCGCGACCCAAGGGGTCGGGACTGGGGGCGGGGGGGGTCTTCCAGGGTCCAAGGAGGGAGAGAACGCCCCCACTCCCAGTCCCGACCCCCTGAATCGCCGGCTCGGGGATGGGAGTCGGGACTGGGAATTCTGGACGCCCGAAATGAGTACTGAAAGAATGGGTACTATGCCCAACAGCAGTTCCTGTTCATTTTGAACAAGATCCGCTGTCCACGCCGCCGCGGCCTGTGTACATTTGAGACAGAAGGCCGCCTGCCCAACAGCGGCCGCTGTTGGTTTGGGACAACATTTGCTGTTGGGCATGGTACCCATTCTTTCGGTACCCATTTCGGGCGTCCAAAGGAAGGGGTGAGGCTCTTCGCCTTCCGAATCGTGCCCCTGCCGCCGTCTGGGGTGAGTGAGCTCTTCGCTCGTCGGAGGTGCTGTCCGTTCCTGGTCGGAGGGCGAAGCCGAAGGACACGTCGTCTCCACCCGGAGTCGTCGGCGAGCGAGGGGGGGAAGTGAGGCAGGAGAAGGCCTGCTCAGAAGGCGGGGGGACTTCCCAGAGGCCCTCGCGCCTTCTGAGAAGACTTCTGCGTCTTCGGGGAGGGCTCAGAAAACTTCTCCGAAGGCTGGGGGACTTCCGAGCCTTCTGAGAAGGCCCGCCCCTTCTCACTTCCCCCCCTCGCTCGCCGCCGAGAAAGGCGAGGGTAGGTGAGGGGGAAATGATGAACGCTTATTGGGCCATCTTGTGTCATGTTGCACCTTTTCCGATCTTAGGCGTTGGGCATCATGGGGCCATCTTGGGACCGCGATCAGCCATCTCTGGTGATCCTTTGATCACATCGGGGCCTATGGAGGGCTGTTTCAGAGCCATCTTGGGCGGTAGTGTGGAGATGTTGAAGCCTCTGGAAGAATCCTGTGGCGCCCTTGGGAGGGCACGTGGTGATGTCTTGGGGCTTTGGAAGGCATTATTGGCACTTGGTGGAGGCATCTTGTGGCAATCGGGGTCACCCTCAAATCATCGTGGGCGATCTTGCTTCCATCTTAGAGCGTCTGGCGGCTGGAGCATTTGATGGTCGTGTGGAAGCCCTCCTGGGATTCCCCCTCGGCAAAGCAAGCGCGACAGGCAAGCTGCATTGCAACACAAAGCGACATGACATACACACACATACTACAGTCAGCCCGCGCAGTAAGGATGAGCA